CCTGGGTGAGTGGGGAGGGAACCTTGGGACTGGCAGGAGGTGGGTGGCCGGAGAGGGGTCCTCAGCCCCTTGTTCCTGGTGGCCTCACCCTTCTCCATCTCTAGCTCCCCAGCCAGGACAGCATAAGAGTGTGACCTAGTGAAAAGCTGTACCCACCCATGCAAGGGGTTGTGGGCAACTACGGCCGGCTCCTAGGTGGGTTACTATTGGATAAGGGCAGTTCAAGTCTTGTCTCCTCCCCATGCAAGCTGAGTGACTTTGTAGACCATTGTGCACAGCACCTAGCATTCCTAGGTGCCAAATAAAGGTTGGCCATTATCATTATTATTATCAGAAAGCCACACAAATGCCACAGGTCCAGCACTCCGGAGTTTGCAAAGCCCCTTCACGTCGAGTATTTCCTCTATACTTCACACCCTCTGGTATGGATTACATTACGTTCCCCCAAAATATGTGTTGGAATCCTAACCCCTGTATCCGTGGATGTAATCCTGTTTGGAAATAGTGTTTCTTTGTTATGTTAATTAGATCAGACCTGAATAGAGTTCTAAATCTAATCACCTCTGAGTTATAAAACGAGCAGATTAGACACGGTGATTTGCACACGCGGAGGCGGGAGACGGGGGCGGGTAACAGATGCCATGTGAGGATCGCCCTCGTGCCAAGGAACGCTCAGGACTACTATAAGGAAGGAATCCACACAGCCAAGACCTTGATTTGGACTTTCAGCCTGTAGGACTGTGAGAAAATAAACTTCTGTTCTTTAAAACCACACCCGGTTGGTATTTCTGTTACTACGAATCTAAGTCACCCTCCCTACAAACAGTGACGCTTATTCCCATTTAACAGAGATAGTAACTGAGGCTCAGAGAGAGGACCTTCCCAAAGCCATACAGCAAGTCAGCAGCAGAGTCAGGACTCGAACCCAGGTCCACATTCTGTTGCCAGTGCTCCTGGGCTACCTCCCTGCTCATTCCCATGGGAAAGCCTCCTGCTCAGAAGCATGGGGGCAGCCACAGCCCCATGATAATGCCATCTCCCGTCACGCTCGCCCTAGGCCCAGTGGGCATGGCGCTGCCCATGTGACTCAGCCACCTTCACAAAGGGAGCAGTGTGCCTCGTGCCCTAGGCCTGCCTCCCCCACCCACCACCCATCCCCTCACCAAGGAAAGAGCAGGAATCCTGCTGTACCCAAAATGTGGAGAGAGCAAAGCCATTCTAGGCCTTTAACATGGGACAAGTCCAGTGGAGATTCAAGCCCAGGCTTGGGGTACAAGAGACTGGTGCCACCTCAAATGGTGAAATAAAGGGCCAGGCAAGCAGGAGCAGAGACCGCCCAGGTCCAAGCCTGTTTTCCAAGACCTTATTTGGAGCTCCAAGGACAGACTCAACACAGTTGGCAGCTGGCTCCCTCAGGGAGGAGTCTGCCTGGGTGTCCCGCCCACAGTTACCTGCACCAGGTTTCAAAAGCACTGGGGCTTGTGGTGAGGGAAAAGACACTTCCCGGAAGCCAGCCCGGCTCCCTTTGTTCGCACCTGGCCCCCAGCACTGGCCTCTCTCCACCATTCCCCGTGAAGGTTCCAGACTCAGAGCCCACTCTCACCTGTTGAGCACGTACTGTGTGTCAGGCAAGTGACTTGGGTTTTCTCCTATAACCCGGCCAGGGAGGCCTTTTCCCATTTGCTGGAGGAGGAGACTGAGGCTCAGAGAGGGAGGAGGGCCAGCCCAAGGTCACACAGTGTCTGATTTCATGGCCCATTTCCTCCCCAGGTTCTCCCTTTCCTAGCTCCAATGGCATCTTGACCACATGCCAACAAGAAGTGGCCTTGGGCCCAGTCCAGACAGACAGGCAGACAGACATCTCCCCCTCACCACCACCACCACGGTCACCCAGTTCCTGCCCTGCTGGGAGGGTGCCACAGTGGAATGCAGTCCGTGAAACAGAGTTTAGGCTGCCTGGGCCTCTGAGGACCACCCCGGCTGACCTCCCAGAGGCAGGCACGCCTGGTTGCCCAGCTGGCCAAGATAGAAGGTAGACAGCAGCTGCCCCCTCTCCTAGGCATGACGGAATGTCTGAATCCATAACAAGGGCACCTGGCAGGAAGGTTGGATCCAGCCTGAACAGGCCTGGGAGGTCGTTCTGGCCATGCCACCACCTCCCACCTTCAGAAGCCCCTGAGCCCAGGGCAAAGACGGGCCACCTCAAACTAGCCTCTCCCCACGCCAATCACATGCCCGTCAGCCTGATCTAACCTTGCAGAAGGAAGCAGGTGCAGGAGGCTGGGCACCCAGATGCCTGGGTTCCTCAGATGAGACCCTGTCCATCTCTAGGAATTAGGGGATTGGAGCTCCGTGCTCTGTCTGCTGCCTTCCCTCTCTGCCTCTGGAGCCAGAAGTGCTGCCCCCTTCTCAGAATTGAGTCCTGGGAGAACTCCTGGCAGCCTGCTCAGAGGCAGCCTTGCCTGGGGGAGACCCAGTGACTGGGAGGCTCCAAACTACCCTTCCCCCTCCCCCTAGACTCCTCCCAACATTGTCCCAAAGTCCTCCAAATAGCAGAGCATGGGCTTTGCCATCAAATCACACTTCAGTATCCTCAGTGCAAAACGGGGGGGATAACAAGGCCTACCCTGCAGGGCCTCTGGAAAGAGCCCAGTGCTTTGCCCAGGCCCCAGTAAGAGTCAGTCATCATTCTATCTTTGGATGTAGCATTATCCTCCCCACTGGGTTCTCTTTTACAATGCAAATTCCCCCAGTAGGCAGGAAGCAGAAGAAGCTTCTCCATTCTACATCACATTCAAATCGGAGCCTTCCGTAACTAAATGAGAGGGCCCAGACTTGGCGTGGGGTCACCAGCGTCCCCTCACCCAAAGGCCCGCACAGCTGCTGGTAATGTCTCCACAGTTGTGTCCCTTCGTTTGGCAGCTCCCTCTGCTCTGGTCTGTAAGGTCAGAGTGGCAGCTGCTCAGACGCCAGAGACTTGAGCCAGGTGCCCCTAGTCGGTCAGGGAGGCAGCATTACTCTCACTCCAAGGGAAGCAAATGAGGCCCAGAGAGGTTTAATAACTATCCCAAGGCAGCACAGCCGGGGTGCAAAGATGCAGGACTTGCTTCATTTTGATGAAGGTGAAAATGTGTCATTTCACTTGACTGCCATGGTGTCTCCAAGGTCCAGGATCTTGGTTTTGATCTCCCCATGCAGCCCTTGCCCTTCACCCCTAAACACACACACACACACACACACACACACACAC